TGTTCCGTGTAAGTCTGTGAATGAATGACTGACTGACTGTATGTATGTATGTATGCGGGTATAATATGTGGATGTTTATATCATAATTGTAGGCAAAAACAAAACGATTGATTTATTCGAAGTATGCTTAACTTATGATTTACTTATCTTCTTTCTATATGAAGAATACAGTATTATATGTGACTAAGAGCGGAGATCAGTTTTACTAAACAAGTCATACAATCACAAATCAATAATTTCATTGATAAATGAACATCAGTATAATTTTATAATTGCCACACTACGGATCATCATTGAACAAAGCTTGGAATGGCAGTCACCTGTCTCTATCTCAACTTCATCGACTTTGAAAAGGCCTTCCACAGCGTCGATCGAGAGATGATTTGGTAACTACTTCGCTACTACGGGGTGCAATCGACAATGATACATCTCACCCAACAGTTATACGACAATGCTGCATGCCAAGTAATCCACAACGGGAAATTTACGGAAGCCTTCGAAGTGAGGACGGGAGTGAGGCAAGGCTGTCTACTATCGCCAATGATCTTCCTGATTGCAGTAGATTGGATAATCAGATAGACAACGGGCAATGAGGAAACAGGCATAAAATGAACTCACACAAAAGACTTGGAGGATCTGGACTTCGCCGATAGTATATGTTTGATTTCCCACAAATTGGAAGATATGCAAATGAAAAGCAACAAGCTGGCAGAAGAAGCATCAAAGATAGGACGGGCTCGACCTGAACATAGAGAAAACAGAGGTGATGAAGATTCCTGGCCAACAGTCACAGTGACAGCAACAACAACAGACAACAATCAGTATAAATGGGAGGAACCTGAATGAAACAACCTCCTTCACCTACCCAACTGGGAAGCATCGTTTCAACTACAGGCCAACGGAACTGACGACGATATCAAAGCCAGAATCGGAAAAACAAGACAAGCTTTCATTACTCACGTCAAGTCTGTGTGGAGGTCAACAGCACTCAGAATCAAAATGAAAATAAGATCCGGATTTTCAACTCCAATGTGAAGTCAGTGCTACTCACTATACGGATCAGAGACTTGGCCAGCGCGTCATGAAGAGCATCTCAAACAAACTTCAGACCTTCATTAACAGCTGTCTTCGCTCAATACTCCACTCAAGATCAGATGGCCAGTCAGAAAAGATCAACAACAGTGATGGATCTCTGGCAATGAGAGAACCAACACAGCAGGAACAACCGATTGTGCAACAAATAGGCAGGAAGAAATGGAGATGGATTGGGTTGGCCATACTCTGAGGAAACAAACCATCAAGTGACATCACTAGACAAGTCATTGCTCGAGTGGAACCCGAAAGGGAAGAGGGCGGCGAGTTGGTTGTCAGTGCAAGGGTGACTTGGAGGAGGTGGTGTGAAGAGGAGATGAAAGCGTGTGGGCAGACTTGAAGTGGTGTGAAAAAGTTGGTAGAAAACAGAACGCAATGGAGATGAGTGGTTGAAGCCCTGTGTTCCTCTAGAAATTAAAGGATATGATAACAATAATTTTATAGGACACTAGTTGCTAGTACGACGTGTCTATTCCTTTCTTTAGTGTAGACTGAATTCTATAAGTCAGATTTGCAATGTATGTGGCCACCATGTCACTAGGTAGCTCACGGTCACAATGCACATTGATTTGATGATATTAGATGGTTGGAGGCTATCAGCAGGAGGCCTTGCTTGCCTCACCTAGGTTTCGTGCTAGTTGGCATGGCATTGACCAGTCAACAAGGCGTATCTGCAACCTTGATGTAATTCATGTCCCTTCTGAGATTCGAACCCGCGTCATTCAGTGCTGCAGTCAAAGACTTGTTGAAAACTTTAATTTATTAGTGATTTGGACACAATAACTGACTAGTTATACTTAAATAAGTGAGGGCAGTGGAATTTAGTCTGCATCAAACAAAGGAGTAGACACATCACACTGCTTACTAGTGTCCAATCAAAGTATCCACTACAGTCCTACAGGAGTTCATTCGCGATCACGAATAGCTCAGTGGTAACGTCTCCCTCTGACTGCAGCACTGATTAACGCGGGTTTGAATCTCAGAAGGAAGATGAGTTCCATCAAGGTTGCAGATACGCCTTGCTGACTGACTGGTGAGTGCTAATTATCACGAAACCTAGTTGGAAGGCTTCCTGTGGCCGATAGCCCCCAACCATCTAAGAACATCAGCATATAACTGTCCTCATCTTCGGCCTGCTCTATCCTAGTCGTCACGGCTTCTCACTAGAACCTCAGGTAACTGCCCGAATAGGGCCAGTCGCTAGTGAGCATCAGATTAATTTTCAAGTATTGGTTTTTCAGGGACTTTCTCACATGTTTGATAGGTTTCATCATGAGCTGACAGTTACTCATGGAAGAAGACATTGCGAAGTGGGTGCGCTATGTCATGAATTGTTAGAAGTTAGAATTCATGGACTGGTCATTGGATAGGGTCCCAGTGGCTTAATGGTCTACGAGTTGGCTCGCCTTGTAAGCAGAAGGTTGTAGATTTGAACCGTGGCGGTGGGTGAGTACTGATGAAGAGTCTCAAACTAGGCTGACGAAACGACTGGCTGTTCACTGCTCCCTGCAGGCTTTCCAATGGTTCTCTAATGGATATCAGCTCATGATGAAATCCTCCAACCAATCAAAGAAAATCCCTACAAACTAATACCTGAAGATAAGTATATAACTAAAGTTTCCGTGGAACGATAGAATTTAGGCACTATAGTGGAATATAGTTCCAGATTAGATAAGTTTATTTCACATAATACACACATACAGTGATACATTATATATAAATGCATATCATTTTCTAGCCCATTCTGTTGCTCATAATCAAATTCATTGTATTCATACAACTTGATAACTTGTTTTATATACCCTTACTCCCCAGTGTTCTTATTGTCATTTTCCACATATCCAGTAAAGGCGTTGAGTCATTTTGATTGCAGGTATCTGATTTTCATTCAATGGACAAATTTCGGGTGATTATTACCTCCTCACTCCTCCTACCTCGTTGTGCGATAACATGCAAGTGGATGTATTGCAATGGCCGAGCCTTTTTCTAGGTTATTTAACTTAACAGGGTCATACATTCTAGGTCTAGCTAAAAATATATCCCATGTCCTGTGTGTTTTAAGCAAGTCATTTTGAAAGGTATTCATTCTTTGCACAGGATTGTAAAAGGAGAGGCCAAGTGGCATTGCAAAGTTATGTGTGATAAAATCCAAGGTATTACAAAGTCAGCTATTCACTATCACCCTCATCACGGTGGCGTAAAATATATTTGTAGCTTCACCCCCGAAAAGACGTGGGGTGTTTTTCTGAAGGTGTTCTTAGACAATGTTATCCCGCCACATCACATTGAGGGAGCTATAGGTATTGTGTATGCTCTGAAACGTCAGTTTTCTTTCTTCTTGCATAACTTACCTCAGTCTGATGAAATGAACTTTGTTAAGTATGCCGATGATCTAACTATTTCAACGTCTGTTAACTCCCAGCTTGACTGTGCTAAAATAAACAGCTTTCTATCAGGAATTAGCAAATGGTCTTCGTCAAGTGGTCTTAAACTAAATCCTCCCAAATGTCGAACTGTTAATTTCAGTTTCCGATGTAAAAGAAAGTTAAATGAAGCAGTTGGTTCCTATGACCCTTGTAAAATTGATGATACTGATATAGAAATCAAGTCTGAAGTTAAGTATCTTGGATTGATTCTTTCTACTGACCTATCCTGATCTTCCCATGTCTTAAGGATTTCTAAAAGAATATTTCTTCTGACTTTTTATATCAAGAAGTTGAGGCACTCAGGAATAACCCAACCACTCCTCTTACATTTTGTTAACTCGTGTATTTTACCTATTCTTCCTTACTGTCCACCCTTATTCTTTCCTGGATTGCTTAAAAAAGACCATGTCATAATTCGTAGAATTCTGAAGACTGTCAGTCAATAGGGCGAGTGGTATCCCGTTGGGCCATATCGTTGACATTGTCACGGATAAGCACTTGATGCAATGTAACAAATTTACTAAAGGGATTCTGTCAGGCTCTGAGCACCCACTCTACTCGCAGCTCCAACCTTGTGTCTCCTTAGGCAGAACAAGAAGTCTTTTCAGATAAATTTATGCACGTACGTCTAAGTACAAAAATTCCACTATACCATATTTGGCACGTAATTTATGTGATGAAAATAGTGTCAGGCATGAACTAACTAACCTTCTTTGCACTACTAAATAAACCATTTCCTCCACCCTTACAGTGCCAAACTTTATTGTTATTGTATTTCTTATATTTGTAAACCTCTCAATTTTTTGTTTTTAATTATATTTATTTACACATAAGTGTGAAGATCATTTAAGCTCTGTTATAACTGTTAGTTTTGTATTTCCCCTCACTATACTATATCAACAGAATATTATATTCAATATTCTTTAACATGCTAAAATTTCCAAACTGAATCGCCAATACTGTTTGAAACAAACTCACTGTTATTGTTATTATTATATTTAATATTCTCAATTCATGCTTCGAATATTTTTGACTTTATGTCGTAAACGTGGACAAATTCCTCTGGTTAATTGTGTTTTAATTTTTAATTTTATTTATATTTTAGTTAAATCAGATGCAATATTGTGACAAATGCTGAGAATTCCATTCTGTATTATAAGTACTGTTTTCGGAATAAAGTAGATTACTATTATTATTATTACTACACTGTACACCGTTTCAGTGGTTAATTTTCTCACTGATTTCAATAGAAGAGACCATCGGTTGACCTGCATCTACCTAGTCAACTCAAAAGGTATCCTACTACTTTGTCCTTCTAATGTCTCGACCCAAGCAGATTATTATTTCAATCTCCAAACAAACAATAATTTCTACTGACATAAGCAACCTTAAATCCAAATCATATAGATTACTCATTTAATCATTTGAGTAGTCAATAATCTAAAACTATTAAAAGTATCAATAGTAATCATTTATACTTACTTATAATAACATTTGCACATGCCTATTAGCTTTATCCAATCCAATTAAATGATTAGCTGGATTTAATGAAAAAGCTGGTGATGGTATTGTTACACGACATTCATTATTGCCATTTTTAATTATATGACTTGGTATTAACCATTGATATAATCCACTATCTGGTCTAGAATTAGTCAATGAATCAGGAATATGTGTTAATGAACCTGGAATTGGATTTGATGAAAGTAAATTATTTTGTTGTTGTTGTTGTTGTGATTGCTGAGATTGTTGAGATTGTTGTGGATGACTAGCATAGATTGTACCGGTTAAACCAAGACTATCAGCTGTACCAGTTAAACAATTTCCAACAACAGGATCAGTTTGCATTGGTATTGTTGTTGCATTGTGGGAATTCAATAAATTATGATAAGTTGTATTAAAGGAATTTAAGTCTGCTGTCGTTGGATAAACGCATCCTTGTAAGGCTGGATTAGTCATTGCCGCCATAGCAACAGAAAGCAATTGTTGTTGTTGTTGCTGCTGTTGTTGCTGCTGTTGTTGTTGTTGTTGTGACTGTTGATGGGGTTGCTGTTGTGGTTGTTGTGGGCGAAAATATTCAGTTCCGTATAAAGAGCATCCATATAGACTATCATTAACACCAAAGAAAAAAAAACCAAATGAAGCATGTTTAATACGTGATGTTATTTGAAGGATAATGGAATCCAAGATTCACATTTCGTCCTGCATGGGACTCATCAATTAGATGAACCTACAATCTCTACTGAGTGGTGGTGTATTCCCACTGGGGTCCAAGCCAAAGATGAAATGCGCATTTTGGATTGCACTGATTGTCACTAACCACCAAATATCATGTTAATCTTCAGAAATCGTCGAAGAGTCCGTACTAGACACCAACATATAAAAAAAGACTGGACATTTCGGTTCACTATCATCAGTCAACGGGAAATACAAAATTAACAAATTTAACAAATGTATAATACATATTGGTGACTGAGAGCGTCTGGGAAGAAAACTTAAAGCGGAAGCATGTAACTGAACTTATTTAGGAGAAATAATTGAATCGCTTTCTAATACCATTATCGAACCATGTTCACTGGTGCTTTACTGGTGGAATACGGGAGGTCTGGATTCTAGTCCCGGCTGTCTCACTACTTGGTAGTGTGTTTAGCCAGGAGAGAAGGAAGGTTGGGAGAATGAGGCTAAAAACCCCACTCCGTAAGAAAACAAGCCCAAAGCCTAATTAATGTTCCACTTGAAAGAAAACACAACCCACTGATTTGATGCTAATTTCTATGGTTCAGTGTGAAGTGTGTGTAGATAGAAAAGCTTTGCAAACTGCTCAAGTAAGCACTACTAATTACCGTGAACAGCTGTCAACTACTTATATAAGTCGGCAATATAATAGTACGTTATTCCAATTAACAAAGAATCACAATCTTACCAAGAAAAGCCTCTTTTTTCTGACTACTTGATGAAATGCATCCGCTAAATTGTTATTACAGCAACATAGAGAAATAGGTTTACAGTAATATGTCAAGGCATTTGAAACTCATCTAATGTATTCATTATTAAACTGTCATGTAAAAAAAATGAAGGAATGTTTAACTACACCTTTTGATAGAACTTCTGTCCAGGAAATCGCAAACAAAACAAAATGTAGATCTTGAATACCACTGCCAATCAAACACTTATCAAATAACTTCATTTACCATTTGAAATTCATCAATCCCAGATATGGAACTCAATTGGATTAGAATAAAGTACCACCCTTAGACACTGGACTCAGGAGATGTAGTCTGTAGTTACTTCAAATCCTCGATTTTCCTCTCAGTAGGCCTCAAGCTCAAATCTACTTTAGCTTGTACAACTAGGTAGTATCGTGAACCATCACCCAATAAATGCATACTCACAACCTGGTGCATTAAAAATTTGTTCTAGTCAAGTGATTTCTACACGTATAAGAGGTTCATGGCAGAGGTATAGTCGCACGTATATCAAACTATTGAAGCTTAACCTTCTTATACTTCATTAGTAGTGTATCACAGCTACACATTATGGAACTTTATTGACACCTGAAATTTTCTATTCAGGCAAGAGTAACTAAGACAAGTGAATGTTGTTCTGTTGTGAAGCAGTATGTCTACATCTCAGAATGCTTCATTGTCAAAGTGACTTAGAGGTTTCCAATGGCATTATCAAACCGAAGAAGATTTCCACTTCAGCAGACCACTTAGTTGATCGATAAGTAACAAGGACAACACTGGATGTGGTAGGACAGTAAACCGATTAAAAAGTACCGAAATTCCAACAACAATGTATAAAATAGAAGGGAATAACACTTCATTTTAAAAGGGGGACAAGGATATACTACTTAAATATCAGGCAAATAACAAGTAAGTAGTAATTTCTGCTTCTCAATGATTTCGTATCGCTAATATTATTAAGCATAGTGTCAGGTTATTAAAATACATTGGAATAAATGTCTTCATATTCTAGTTTATTCCAACTTTGTCAGGCAAGCGAAAATGTCCATGGATATTGTCAGTTAGTTCCACAACTAATCAGATGACTCTCAGAGTATTTTCCTGTTACAATGAACTTGTTCAGCAATTAACATATGTCACACGTACACGCATACAACAAGCTGATTTATTTATTATTTACTCTAACCGATTGTGTGAATAATATTCACTGTTCTTTTGATTATCTTGAATTTATTATACAAATAAACAAATGTCTTATCATTGAAGGAAATCTGAAATCACGAGTTATTGTTTAGACAAACAAATAAATCAATGAGCAAACAAGAAGGAAGTAAAATGACTATGTCATAATATGATTGATTGTACTACGATGTAGTCAGCTATGGGCAAAAAAGAAACAGTTTTAGTTTGGAATTCTACCTTGATTTTTCCAACTTTCAATAGGTAGGCAGTTTTTTCAGTTACCAGTGGATTGTAGAACTTTATCTATTGTCTTTCCTAGCACCCTTCTTCACTCCTTTGTTCAGTCCCCTGTCAGCCAAACTCAACTTCTACTTTCGTTGTCCATCTTTGTACTGGTTCACCTTTTGTTTCACCATCCACCTTTCATTTATTAACTTCTATAGGTCCGCAGACAGACAGACATTCATTGTCTTGTACCTTCTTCCTTCCTAAGACGGCTATTCAGGTTTCCTGTAACATCACTTTCTGGGAGTTCCATTGTAGTATTATTACTATTATTATTATTATTGTCAATGACATGTATTCCGTTGACTAGAGTAGTGTACATACATCTTCAAGAACTTCAATCATTGAACAGTATTACAACTTCATATATACTTAGAATTGGTGCTTCTCTGTTCAACTTCAAGAGACACCAACTAATTGATTAATACGTGAATTAACATTATCTGCTGATTAGGAAAGAAAAGTTTGTTTGATATTTATAGTTGTAGTGAACACTTCAATTTACACCCTACTGACAAGTCATGAATAGAACGAAACGCATTTCCTAGATTCACCTGTGATTTACTATCATACAATTGATCTATTCTATTTTATTCTTCTTATCAGGAAGGATCAGTCTATTATATAGCTTGATATTTAAATACACTGATTTTAATATTTAACAAGTACTACTGTAACAACGGGAGGCAAAGGCAGGGCAACAGATTCTTTATTAAGGAAATCAACACATATTTATAGATTTTCATGTACATATTATAGATTAATGTTAGCAGAAAAACACAGTCTTCTGATTTGTGGTTGTTTCTCACAGCAAGCTAACCTTGCATCTCTTTTTGGCTGTTTCTTCAGTGTCAGATCATCTATAATGTTAGCTGCATCGCCTACGCAAAGCCTTTGTTCTCATTTTTCTCACGACCAATATTGGGGACATAAACATTGACGTAAATTACTGTCCACCATTTTCGACTAACAGCCAGCTCTCACCACACTACTACTACTGTACTACTGTTTATCTATCATGGCAACAACCTCAGTAGATGAGGCATTTCCACCATAAACACACAAGAATCGCTGTTAGTTCAGATGACGTTGGTTGGCTTTTTATTAACCTTTATTGACTAATTTTCAAAAGGATGTAATTTACAGCATTATAGTTGATTTACAGTTACCCAACAGTGACTGTAAATAATTTAGTAGTTAAGTTTTCAAAGGTAAAACAGAGAAAACTTCTGACATGGAGTTGTCTGTGTTACAGGCAGCCCATTGAAAACGACATCAGTCGACGTAAACTGTCATAGCCTAATTATTCTAATATAATAACCAAGTATCAAATTAGAATGATATAAATCGGTCATTGCAACAAGAACTAGTTATTTAATTTCATTGTATTTAATATGAACAATGAAAGGAAATCAGAACTATTTATTTACCGTTATTAACCTAAATAAAGACGCTATATGCCAATATATTCACTCTGATTTGATGACAGTTGGACAGAGTTTTTCCCTAGTTTTGAAAAAGAATTTGATCACAACAATAGAATGACGGCAGTAAGAGATGGTGATTCCAGAAAAATAATACTTGCTGACCACTCATGCGGTCCGGGGTTCCGCTCCCAATCGAGGCACTGCTAAACTTCAATCAGCTGATAGTAAGCCTGGTGAAGAGGGAAGGCTGGGTGCTAGGATAACCGCCTCACCCCATAAAATACACCAGTCTTACTGAAACTGCAAAGTTCAAGGCTGAAGCTCTATCTCCCAGATATAAAAGTAGCAGGTAGGTAACGAACAGTATTCATCTAGAATACAAACAACTGAAAAACAAAACTCAAACTAGCATGAGTACAACACAATGGTAGGTGAATGAAAATACATGCAATTTCACTCACTTAGGATCAAATAATTTTGTATCTGGTGAAGGAATAGCTGGAGTTCCAAGTAATGCAATCTGATTGGCTGATAACAGGCCACCGTTTAGCGCTGATCCCCCAGCAGCAGCATGATTTGAGCGTAGACAGTTATTCACAAAACCATTCGGTGTTGGTGATCCACCGAATATTGTTGAAGCCGCAGCGGCAGCTGCAGCCAAGGCAGCTAAACTTGGTTCACAATGATTTGCTGAATGTGTTCCATTGAAGTCAGCCGTCAAGCCGTTATTATTATTATTACCATTACTATTGTTATTATTATTATTGATGGTAGTACTGTTCGTACCATTATTTGTTGATGTATTATTACAAACTAAATTATTTGAAAATTTACCCGGTTGAATAAAACCACCCAATAAATCTGTATTAATACCTGATGTAAAATCTGTTGTTGATTTATGCAAAGCTGACAGACTGGCTATTTGATTGTTAACAAGAGACGGACTAACCAGCCCTGTATTCAGTAATGAAGCTAAGGCATCCTGAGATGTTAACGCTAAACCATTCGGAGTTGTATACAAAGGACAATTTAAGAGGCTGTTGTAATTGACATTTGCAATCATTGTGGCCGCGGCTGCAGCGGCGGCAGCAGTCGCTGCTGTCACAGGATATCGTCGTCTTCTTGTGTCAGGATTATGTTTATCTGCGAATTTCGCTTCAACTGGAACAGAACATTCAGGCAGTGTAAGAGGATTTAACTTCAATGATTCCAAGGCATTTACTGCATCTTGTTCGTTAACAAATCGTACGAAACCAACACCTAAATGATGGAAAATTACGGAAATCGAGGGTAGGGAAACAAGAGAAAAGGAAAAAAATTTGAGTCATGTGATAATACAATGCATAGTATATTACTGAAGTGGAGCTCTGTTGTCCGTGAATACTGACACTTCATTTCTCACTAGTGAGTCGTGAGTGTCAACGAAACTGCAGCCCAGTAGGTCACACATACACATAATAAATATAGCCAGTGGCCACAACTTCATTAATTAACACCAGGTCTTGCAGATTAGTAACAGAATTCAACATATAAACTTCTCTGAATATATGAATTATCTATTAAATAGACTTGTTTCATGTGTAAGTATTTCTCTTCTAACTGAAATTCTAGTTTGTATTCCTGAGGATTATTGTTATAATCACTAATTTTCTAAACTGCACTCCTGAAGGAATTTATATCTCCCCTCACATGCAATCCGACCTTCGTCATATAGGACCGCAGCCGTGAACGTTACTACTATGCCGGATACAATGACTAGTCACTAGGGTCCTATTCATACTGACAAGTGTCAATAAGCAGAGCTTCCTACTCATAACCTCCAACCAGCTGACGTCAGTCCCAAGTACATCATGATGATAAGCCAGCTAGCCTGTTGATGACAATACAAAGTTGCCTGATTGTGTTAAATCAGCACTAATCATTAGCCAAATAACATTGGTTAATCCCAAGCAGGCGTCTTGCAAGGATTCAATGGAATCATTGCGAAAGTGGAGATAATTTATTCTTACTTTAGACATTTCTCAGGAGTTAACTTATTTAAAATATAATTCTTTGAAATAATGGTTATTGAACAAAGAATATTCATTTCGATAACTTTGTCACCAGGTTCTATAGTTATATATACATAATAGTGAATGAATTAGTGTTATCGACAACATTAGTATTGTTTAAATAACATCGAATCAATAATAATAATAATAATAATAATAATAATAATAATAGTGATATCAATGGATTACTGTTCGATTGCATCAACATAACAATAAACTAAATGAATATCAGAGATATTAGGAAAGATAATAATTACACGATTTCATCATGAGCTGACATTAGTTAGAGAACCATTGGAAAACCTGGGAGTACTGGACAGCTCTTTCGTCCTAGTTTGGGACTCTTCATCAGTGCGCACCCGACCTGCTGCACTCTCTAACTAATGTCAGCTCATGATGAAATCCTGTAAACCAATCAAATCCCTACAAACCAACAATTGAATAACGATGAGATGCTCACTAGAGACTTGCTGTATTCAGATAGGTAGTTACCCGGAGTTCTAGTGAGAAGTCGTGACCAGTAGGGTGCAGCCGGTCGGGTGTGAGGACAAATACTCGCCGAAGACATTTCCCAGGGTCACGGTATGTCGTGAATTGGCAGAAGTTAGAATTCATGGACTGGCCATTGGATCAGGTCCCAGTGGGTTAATGGTATACGAGCTCGCCTTGTAACCAGAAGGTCGTGGGTTCGAAACCTGGTGGTGCGTGAGTACTGCTGAAGAGTCCCAAACTAGGACGGAGGAAACAGCTGTCCAGTACTCCCAGGTTTTTCAAAGGTTCTCTAGCTAATGTCAGCACATGATGAAATCCTGTAACCAATCAATCAAATCCCTACAAACCTACACTTGAATAAAGATAATAATACAAAATCATCAATCTATAGTCTCCACTGAAGGCCAACCACGGCAGTGGTAGTGGCTGGTTGGACTTGCTTCTTCTGCACACAGAGCACCAGTTGTTTCAGGCGAATCGAAATTGCCTCTGTTGTTTGGAGTACGCGGTACCTGGGTCCTTTTGGCAATTAATTTGGTACCTTATAGATGATAGAGTAGGACTATTCAATATTGAGTTCGTGACCGGTTTGGATCGGGTGTTCTAATATCGAGGTAATGATGATTCTAACCATATCGGTAGATGTTCCCTGATCATAATTCTATCGAAAAGAATATTCTTTGTTCAGTAATCATTATTTTGAAAATTCTTTAAAAATCAAAATCAACTAGAAATCTTCTCAATACTAGGAAGGACTGGACAGCTATTTCATCCTCTTCTGGGAAATCAATGTCGTCCACAAGATGGGTATAAATTATGACTGCCAGGTTACGTAGCGAGTAAGTTATCATTAAAACATTAAGTCCAAATAACTAAAAAGCTCTAATTTTTCTGGATGAAATCTACAAAATAACCGGAAGTGACGGACATAAAGTTCGCCATACAGACAATGAAGAGTGCCAACTATGATTTGAACATAATTATCTTAGAGATCATATAATTCCTGCCTATCTGTTTATCCATGTTAGCATCTAACTTGTTTGTATGAAATGAAGACAACACAATTCAGTTTACTGTAATTATATCTAAATTATTTGGCTGGTTTGGCAAACACAAGTGGTAGACTTCTATCAGTTGTTCAGGCATGAAAACTTTACAAATTATCATTCAGTTACTAATTTACAAATCGCAATCATACGATTATTAAAGTATAGCTTATCAGTAACGTTTCTATGCTAATTGGCATGGCAATGAATCGTACATTTTCTAGCAAAAATGATTTTAACATTTGAATAAAATCGAAAATATTCATCTATGACTGTCATTACAGAGCAATCTATGATGCTATGCTTTGAAATTCTGTAGTGAATGGATTGATATTCATGAGTAGGATCATAAACCACATGCCTAAATTTCGCTCTTCTACCTGGATTAGAGCAGGCTAGTAAACTAGTGAAGTAGCAGACTAGGCAATACAGATGACAGGATGTCAGTGGTAGGATCGGAAAAGCAAAACAGGCGTTCATTACTCTCAAATCACTTGAGAGATCTACAACACTCAGCATGCAGAACAGAATCCCGATCTTCAACACTAATGTTAAGTCAGTGGTTCTAAAAGGTTCAGAATAGTATTCTCAGCTGATTACTAGATACTGAATACCAGATAACCAGTCAGAAAGGTTAAGTTACAAGGAAACCTGGGAACAAATCAACCAAGAACCAATTGACTAACAAACAAGCAGGAAGAAATGAAGGCAGACTAGACATATGCTAAGAAGACTGTTCAGATACATCATGCAACAAGCCAGTCCCGAAAAAGAACCTAAATGGGACATCCTAGGGTGACAAGGAGGAGGTCGTGTGTGGACCAAATGAAGGCTTATGGGCAATCGTGGAGTGAGTTAAAAAGAAGACTGCAGAGAACGGGATGAAATGGCACTGTGTTGCTGAAGTCCTATACTCTACTTTGAACCCAAGGGAATAATAATATAATATAATAAACTGGGTCTACATTCAGTGAGTTTAACGTGTGCGTTTTTGAATATTTCCCGGACAAACTAGAGTAAAAGTGAATGATTATAATAATATTTATTCATATTTTATATATATATATATATGTTTATAGCTGACACGCATTTGGATAGACCTGATGAAATGAAATCATTCCATACTTATTCTGTATCAATGTTTGTTCTATCTTACACAGTTAGTTTTACCGCTGTATTGTGCATTGACAACAGCTAGAATTCAAGAGTAAATGTATTCCAGGTCAGCGGCTAAATAATTACTTACCCTACTCTTAACCCAAAGATCCTGAATTCAATCATTAGTTAGTTATAAATGAAACAGCCAAACTAGTGCTCCATGATTTCTATCGGTTCGCTAAGAAATGATTTCACTTCATGACAAAGTCTACATTGAATTTACATGTCATTTGAACGACTATTTTTCAATGCATATAATCTTCTTAAACCCAAATATTATCATCTAGAAAGAATTGATTAAATACACTGTTGAACCATCCGATCAGTGGTCAACCAGTGAGGTCCATCCAGTCAGATGTGACCACGAATGTCCTACCAACGACATTGGTTGGTGATTGAGCTAAATCACGAATTGGTAGAAGTTAGAATTTATGGGCCATTGAGGAATCAGGTTCCATTGGCTGAATAGTAACCGGACGGTCGTGGGTTCGAACCCCAAGTGGGTGCGTACTCCCGATGATTCCCAAAAACTAGGATGAAGCCGCTGTCTGGCAGTACTCCCTGTGGCTAAATTTCAATCGTTCTCTAACTGATATCAATCCGCCGTTAAAGTCGTAACAACGTATCTATGACAGTCGAAAGAATCATGCTCTGATTATGTTGTTTCAATCGCAAATACGTGATTAGTGCAATCCAATATTTTGTTGACAAATGACACAAGTTTGTCTATGTCACCGACAGATTTTCACAACAAATCTCAGTGCAGACCTGGCCTCACACAATGTCACTTTTATTTCGTACTATCAATCAATTAGTACTAACACGCAGATTATCAGTAGTATGTATCTCCCATATTCGCTGTTAATAATAGTTTTAATGATGATGATGATATTTTCCCAGATCAAAATTATCTTTCTTACCAGTTGTTTTATTTGTTAATCGTTCCATCATGACAAAAGCCGATTGTACATGACCAAATCGTTCGAATACAGCCTTCAACTGATCACTATCCTTTGTAGTCCATGTTCGAGGAAGATTTGTTACATACAGATTTGTTTTGTCTTTTTCATTCTCCTGATAAAATCAAATCAAAATGATATACAATCAAAATTAATCTTTAAGGTAACAAGAATATTAACTACTACCAATAATAGTATAAGTAGCTTGATAAATCTGCAATAAATTTTACAGATGCTCTGAGGATGTCAAAGTAAGGATCAGTGAGGCAAGACAGGCGTTAGTTACTCTAAAATCAGTATGGAGGTCCAAATTCTATTTACCACTAATGCCAAGTGAGTGCTCCTGTTTGATCAAGAGATTTGCCACATACACGTCAAGGAAAGCATTTCCAACAGTCTAGTGCAGACTTACATCAACAACTACCTTTGTTAGCTCGGTAGTGAAGAACTCTGTCAGTGAACCAGACAACAACATATTGCCCCGCAAATATGCCGGAGGAAATGTAAATGGATCGGATATATGCTGAGAGAAGACCGTCGAAACATCCATCACGCCCCCAGGTCTCAAATGGACCACGAATGAGAAATAAGGGGTGGCATGGAGGAGTTCGCGTGAGGACGAAATGAAACCTTATGGCCAACCATGGAGAGAAATAAGGAAGACTGCAGAGAACAAAATGAAATAGTGGTGTGCTTCTAAAACCCTATGTTCTGCTTTGAACTCAAGAGACGAAAAATTGATGATACGAACAATAGTACCTCCACTTTTACTTATTCATCAATAGTTAACAAAATAAACAGTCTGGTTATCACAACAAAAAGTGTCAACCATCGGTTCAAAAGTATGTGTCCTACAGTAACGAATTCTACATTTCTTAGATGGATAAAACAATTGAATGTGATACATTGACAAAAAAAGCTTTAAAATTGATCATTTCACCCCAAACTATTGGCAGCTTTCTGATCCAAAGGATGGGAAGATGTATAAAACAGAAATATTTATGCTTGTGGCATGTGCTACTGATAAGATTTATCAGTAATATAGTGAGAGACGTTCCTCGACATAAAAACATCAAATAGCGGAGAGATAGATTTCACGTCAGAGCAAGTAAATCATTCGGTATTGTGGAAAAACATGGAAGACGTGAAAGGAACATAAAGAAAAACAATATGAAGAGAGGCGAGAAGTAGCACAACACGTAAGATATGTGCAAATGGTGATTTGAAGATAAAATGTACACAATTTCGTTATGTAGAGACACTAATATATAAATAAAAACATTGCCTTATCAAGTGTCTTGTCTTCGACCGTTAAATGCTGACTAGCCAGTCAACTGAAACAGTGGAGTAGCTTGTACGAATGAATTACAGAAATGCTGACTGTTGTTCAGATTAAGACAATCAGACACTTTTCTTATAGGGAGTGGAAAATCGAATAAATAAATTTACTGAAGGATGAAACATTCATGAATGATTGCCAAATATCAAAATAAATCGCTTGTCGTAACAAAAGTATGATTTAATTCTAATATGTTGTTAATAACTGGATCCCAGAACAATAAGGTGAGTCAGTGGCATAGCGGCTAGGACGCTCGCTGACCATGCGTATGGTCCGGGGTTCGATCCCAGGCCGGCGATCTCCTTTACCAAGCTAAGCCAGAAATAATGCTGGTAAAGAGGAAAGGTTGAGCATGAGGAGGCTAGCAAACCCATCCTGTAAAAATTAAACACTGCTACAGAAACTTCAAGCCACTAGCCTGATGCCCTATGTTTCACTGGGAACGTGAAGGAAAAAAACAAGAACAATAAAGTCACAGGAGCCACCAACCCATTAGATAGTTATTTCAGCTCATATTCTAGACACATCTTCCTTGGGATAACTAGGACAAGAAAATGACTTCAAATAAACAAGTAGAGGTTAATGTGCATCGGTGGTTCATTGGTAAGATTCGCGTGAAACATGCATGTGGTCTGAGCTTGACTCTTGGTCGACAGAATCCTGTGCCTCGTCTAGTTTACTGATTATTGTTATTGTTCCCTTGGGTTCCAAGTGGATTACACCTCTTCAACAACAAATTTCCACTTTCTCCTATTTTCTGCTATCCTCTTCATCTGACTGGCACCATGACTGCCCATAATCTCTTGTCTCCTCCTCCTCCTCTCACAACCTTCTGCGTGTCACCCTAGCTCTGACAACCCACTTGTCGTTCCCCATTCGGGTTCTACTCGAGCAATGGCCAGGCCCGCGATGTCATTCCATGGTATTCTCAGTGTATGCCCTATCCATCTCCATTTTCTCATACATATTTTTTGAGCGATCAGCTCTTGGTTGGTTTGTGCCCAGCCAAAATTTCTTTTTGCTACTTCATTCTGTCCACTTGATCTTCAATATGCAGCCAGTACAGGCAGCTGTTGATGTTATTCCCCAACCTGTTGGAAACGCTTTTCATAAATATGGAGTGCAAGTTTCTGACCCATATAGAAGAACTGACTTCTAGTCTGGTTTACTAGCAGATAGTTAAACTCAGAAGATGGGAAACTGACTGTGAGACTAGCAACCCTCCCTTCCCTCCATATTCTCAGCACCAATGCTACAGAAATTCCCAAATGAAAGCTTTAAGCTCTGTGTTCCTTTCGGAACATAAGAGACGAAAATAATTGATTTCTTGATTTAAAACATTATACAGAATATATTTTTCGCATACACGCAATACAACAATTTATCTTCTTATACAAATAAAATCAAATTGAATAATTCCAAAGACTAAAACTAACAAAAGTATAATATATACGTAATAATGATGCTAGGGGTAAGTTGCCGTTTATTTAAATATTATTAAGCAAGTTTATGAGTTCATTTCCAACATTTGTCTCTTCACACAACACACCTGTTACTTGGCTACACAAGCATGAGTTCTCGTAAAATGTCTTCTGGTATTAACTGAAGAGATTCAATAAGAAAGCTGCAATTAAAGAAGATATTCAATATCCGACAAGATAACCTCAGTCAACTATTTGTAAAAATTAAAATGCTTATCAACAACAGTATGAGCTATCTGGGTTGATGGCACACACCCCTACTAACCGTGCTTACAGCGTTTAAAATCCTACATAATATGACTCAGTCTTTTTTTTGAGAAACCTAGGGAAGAAAACGATGGGTTGGCGAATAATAAAGAAGAATTAGTAGAACACATGGATTAATATGTTGTAAGAGAAGAGACTCAGTTACGTCACAAAGTCTCGACTTCTTTATATAACAAATCGAACGAAAGGTATGAAAAGGCTGGTAAAGATTAGTAGAGGAACTATTGCCGAGATAGGTAATATTCGATTGATTTCCTACAAGAATCATGGGACTGAAACATTCCAGTCAAGTGTAACAGACTGAAATGTCAACATAGATTTATTCATCTCACAATCATCAATAATAATAGCTTTATTTCAAACGGTACTTTTGGTACAAATATGAAATTTTCAGCATGTAGTACAATATTGCATCTGATTTTCTCATTTCAGGGGCAATAATTATAATAGATAATTTACATTAATAACGTTGTTCAAAAAGAAATGAGTACAAAATTAAATCAAGTGAAAATATTAACGACAATGTAAAAACGAAAACCAGAAAGAAAGGTCGTTATTTAGAGTTCCTCAATAAGTTGGTGATTTCCTGCTTCACACTTATCTCATCACATAAAACGTGGGCTAAATAAGTTATCGTAAAGTAATTGTACTTAGTTATTCGACCATACAGTCTTCTATAGTTGCTTTTAGTTCTGCCTGATGAGATGCAAGGAGAGTTGTGTATGGAGAGGATGTTCAGCATAATATTCTCTAATTTCTTCCAGGAATCCAAGTGTCTATCTATGGTAGTGTTAACGAGTTGGTTTAACAACACCCCAGTCGTCCTACTGACAGATTTTAGCGCACTACGCAATATAAAAAAATGATTACTAAGTAATCCAGGAAAGATTAAGGGGGAACAGTAAAAAAGGTATAGGTAGAATATAAGAATTAACACTCGGCAACAGTAGAGACAGAATGGTACCAGATCTTCTTAACTTCCTTATATAGAGCGTCAAATAAAATATCTTTCTGGAAACTAACATGATGTGGGAAGACCATGAGAGGTGACCAGAGGAAATACACAGTCCAGGGTATTGAACATTCGCTTTGGTTTCAATTCCAGTGCCATAAATGATAGTGAAACCGTATGAACTAACCAGTTCACATAAGTTGCAGTTGCATCTGAAAGTAAAATTAACCCCCTGACGTTTGGAGGGATTAAGGTTAAGACCATTTGAGCTTAAGGACCACTGACTAATTTCTGATATGGGGCAAGTCATTTAAGAAGAAGGAAAACAGAAAAGGAGAGAGAATAGCTCCCCGAGGAACACCAGCTATAGTGAAGCAGTGTAGGACTTCCCGTTGTAAACAGTGTACAGCTTTCCATCGAAAAAATTGGACTGCAGCCACTTGGTAAACCGACACTGTGCTTGTGACGTAGTAAGCTTGTTTAACAAAAGAGGCCTAGGTACAGAGTCGAAAGCAGGAACGAAGGCGCCTCTATCTAGGCTAGAGACAATATTATGATATATGACGACAATGGCATCTAAAGTACACCTGCTATGTTTATAACTAAAGATTCTCTATCTCACTGTGTCTATAAAATAAAATGCTTGGAATGTGATGCGATCTACATCGGACAAACATCGCCGGAGAGAAATCATAATCAGAAGAAATGAACACCGTAGAGCATCTCTTCGACCACCGAGAAATACAGTTGAACTAGAAAAACTTGAAAAATCATCAGCCATAGGTCTACACGCTATAGAATCAGGCCACAAAATTGATTTTGACAATATTGAAATAATCCAGAAAAACTTCAGAAATCACAAAGAACGTCTAATATCAGAAGCCAGCACTTCATATCAAGTGGAATCCCAATTGCCTGAATAGGAATGATGGACTAAAACAAAATCTGACCTG